GCACCTCCAGGAGCCCGAGGTGCTTCCCCCGGGTGCCGTCCGCCTCTCCTGGACCGTGAGTGCTGCCCCACACCACCAGCGCAGAGCTCCCAGTGCCAGCACCCAGCACCCATCCGCTCCCATTGCTCTGCAGGTGCAGCACCAGGCACCCTTCCTGCAGGGGTACCGGGTGCTGCTGCGGCGCCGCGGCGGGCGCTGGGAGGATGCGCGGGTGCTGCTGGCACCAGGGGACCGCGGGGTGCTGCTCACTGACCTGCGCCATGGGCAGCACTACGAGGTCAAGGTCCAGCCCTTCTTCCACCACCTCCATGGGCCAGACAGCGCAGTGCGAGCCCTGAGCACCCCTGAGGCAGGTGAGAGTGGATGGATGGGGTGGTGGGACCCATAGGGACACCCTGGGGGTGACACCCCACATGTGACACCCCGCAGCACCCAGTGCCCCTCCGCAAGGTGTCACTGTGACTGGTAATGGCACCAGTGTCCGCATCTCGTGGCAGCCGCCCCCACTGGCAGAGCAGAACGGGGTCATCCGGGACTACAGGGTAAGGAGTGGTGGTGGGGTGTGATGGGGACGTGGAATGTGATTGTGGGGTGAGATGTGAAGGGTGATGGGGTGCATCGGGTCCCCTCTATCCCCTCCTGGCACCACCGCACCACATCCGCATCCTCCTCGTGACCTTCTCCCCTCAGATCTGGTGCCTGGCCAATGAGAGCCGCTTCCACATCAACCAGAGCGTGGAGGGTTCGGTGCTGGTGGCCATGCTGCAGGGCCTGGTTCCCGGTGTCCTGTACCACGCTGAGGTCGCTGCCACCACGAGTGCCGGGGTGGGCGTCCGCAGTGTCCCCATCCCCATTCGCGTTGGTGAGTTCCTCGTTGCACCCATGGGTTCTGGGTGGCCGCGGTCCCTTCTCAGCGCTCCCACCGCTGTGTCCCATGTTTCTGCAGCGCTCCCGGTGCAGCGGGACAAGGGAATGGCAGGCGGGAGCAGCATGGCCGGGCGCTTGGCCGCAGTGGCCCGGCAGCCGGTGTTCATCGCTGGTGTTGGTGGCACGTGTTGGCTCATCCTGGCTGCCGTTGCTGCGTGGCTGTATAGCCGCCGCCGGAGGAAGAAGGAGCTCAGCCACTTCACAGGTACAATGGGGTGTCACCCTTGGGGCCCCCCCCTCACCATTTACCACCCCAACAGCATCATCCACCTCTCTCCTTGCAGCATCCTTTGCCTACGCACCCAATGGGAAGCCCATGGGGACCCGGCGTGGTCCCCAGCCACCCTCATCCCAACCTCTTCCCGCAGTCGCCTTCCCGGCTCCGGCACACAGGTAACCCCCCTGGTATTCCCACCCTGTTCCCAGGATTCCCAGTGCATCCTTTCATCCCATCTCCTTGCAGGGCAGCCACAGGTGGTGGTTATCCATGGCTGGCAGACACATGGAGTGGTGGTGGCAACACTTGCTTGAGGACCAATGAGAGATACTACAACGGTGAGAGGTCACCATGGGGATGGGTGGCTTGGGTTGGGAAGGTCATGGTTAACCATGATCATAGAATCGTGGAGTGGTTTGGGTTGGAAAGGACCATCTAGTTGGAAAGCTCATCCAGAAAGGACCAAAGTTGGAAAGATCACCTAGCTCTTACCCCCTGCCAAGGGCAGGGATGCTGATGATGCTGGCTGTCCTCCACAGATGCTGGTATCACCCGTTACATCACCCAGACAGAGCAATTTGGGGTTGGGCCCGCCGAGGGGCCGGTCTACAGCACCATTGAGGCTGGCGGCGAGGATCTCCACACCTTTCCTCGTCCTTTCTCCCACCATGGGACCTCCTACCCCCAGTTGATGGATGTCCCAGCCCCGCAGGCACCCCGCAGTAGGGTGGTGGGATGGGTGGGGGGACACATGGGTGCTGGTGGCACTGTCCCCTCCCCACAGCCCCCCCCAGCATCCTTCCTCACCACAGGGACCAAAGGGAAGAAGCTGGGGCAAGCGGTGAAGCCACCAGCCATAAGCTGGACAGAGCTGCTGCCACCACCCCCCTCGGCCAGCGAGCTCAGCCACTGCACCCAGGAGGAGCAGGAGGAGGAGGAGGATGAGGATGAAGAAGCATCTGGAAGGTCAGTGTGGGGACCTAGATGGGGACAGGACATGCCGGCCCCTGCACCCACCGTGTGTCCCCACTCCACAGGTTGGGGATGGAGGGGTGGTACGGGGCTGAGGATGTCGCCTGTGCCACCGCCGCGTCCTCACCCACCGCGTCCTCTGGCTGCCGGTCCACTGCCACCCTGACACCATCGCCCCGGGCCACTGAGGACATCCCCCGCCTCCGAGACATCGACAGCCCCCGGTAGGAGATGGGCCTCACTTAGTCCAGGTCTTCCATCAGGGTCTGGATGTCCCACTATGCTCTGGGTGTCCCATCACAATCCAGACATGTTTTCACCATCCGGCCCTGCTGTGCCACCATGGTCTGACCATGTGATTGAGGTCCAGATGTCTCACAGGGGCACAGATGTCCCACTAGGGTCCAGATATCCTATCATGGCCGAGATGTCTTGTCATATTCCAGCCATATTGTCACTATCTGGCCCTGCATGCCCCTGGGGTCCAGGTGTTCCATTGGGGTCTGGATGTCCCACCACAATCCAGATGTTCCTTCTTCATCCATCCATGTTGTCACCATACATCCCTGCTGTCCATTTGTGCTCTGACCATGCTGCCATCATCCACTCATGATGCTGTGGGATGGCCGTAGCCTAACAATTCAGATGTGCAGCTGTGATGGGCACCATCACGAGCGAGCTGGGACATTGCCATCCAGCTGTGCTGTCATGGCCTAGCTCTGCCATGGTCCAGTGGTGCCATTCCAACCCAGCTGTGTGGTTGCAATCCAGCTGTGCTGTGATCCAGCTGTGCAACTGCTGCCCAGCTGTGTGGTTGCAACCCAGCTGTATGGTTGCAATCCAGCTGTGCTTCAGATGTGCCATTGTGAGCCAGCCCTACCATTGCAACCCTTGGTGTGAAGCTGCGATACAGCTGTGGCCCTGCCATCCAGCTGTGACGCTTCAGGCCCATCCATGCCATTGCCATCCAGCTTTCCCACCACCACATGGGTTCCTTGGCTCCAGCACAGCACAGCACTGGGTTGGTTGCACCAGCACCATGGTGGCCACCAAGCTCCTTGCGTTGGCTTCACCCCACACCTTCTTTGCCAGGAGACCCCCCCATGGCACCGGTACCCCACCACCAGCACTCAGTCCCCTGCCGAGTCCAGACATGGGTGACGTCCCCCTACCCCGTGCCCGCTGCCCCCCCAGCACTGGTGAGCCCTTGAGGGGATATGATGGGTGGGTTTGGACCCCATCAGCTGTGGTGGGGCTGAACCTGTGTCACTCCCAGGGAGAACCCTCAGGGACACCCCAAAACGTCACCTGAAGCCCAAATGCAGCCGCTACCGCCGGGAAAAGCCGCAGGGAGGTGAGAGGAAGGGGAAAACTGGGATGCTCCAAGGGGAAAAGGGGAGGATCAGCCCTCTCCTTGCTCTCCACCACAGACCTGCCGCCACCACCGGTGCCACCACCAGGTGAGACCCCCAGGCCTTCAGCAGAGAGGGAGCTGAGCGGGGCTGAGCACAAGGTCACCCATCGTGGTAAGCCGGAGCCACCAACCATGTCCCCAAGAGGTTATGGGGTGCCACCACCCAACCCCAACCTTGTCCCCTCCCTTGCAGATGAGGTTGTCCCCTACAGCAAACCCTCCTGCTCCACCACGGGCAGTGTCTCATCCCGTGGCTCCACCAGCTCCCGTGGCCATGGCTCGGGGCGCAGCAGGACACCAGGGGACCGTGGGGAAGGGACCGGCCACCGCCGCCGGCCAGGTCCCCCCTTTCCCTGCCCAGCGCAGGAGAAGAGATGAAGTGGAGGGCTAGGGTTGGGGACACAGGGATGGGGACATCGGAGGGTGGGGGGGATGGTCTTTAATTTGGGTGGCACCATGTAAATAGGGTTGCACAGAGCCAGCGGCGGGTGGGTGGCAGCGTAAGGTGGGGACAAGGACACTTGGGTGGGACAAGGACAGTCAGGATGGACAAAGATGCTAGGGAGGGATGATGAGGTTCTTCAGGGATGGATGAAGACCTTGGGAACAAAGACAACTGGGAGGTATGAGGATGCATGGGGGGGATGAGGCTGCTTGAGGAAGGAAGAGGATGCCTGAGAGAGGCCAAGGATATCGCTAGGGATGAGGACCCATGGAAGGGATGAGGATGCTGGGGAGGAGTGGGGAAGGTGCTCATGGAGGGATGAGGACCCTGAGGAGAGACAAGGATAGTTGAAGGGATAAAGATGGTGGGATGGGAAGAGGACAGCTGGAGGGATGAGCATACTTGACAGTACAAGGACAGCGCAGAGGGATGAGGGTGCTTGGGAGTGACTAAGAAGGCTGGGGACAAGGATGCTTGTGGGGATAAGGACACTGGGGGAAGACAAAGGTGCCCAGGGCTTGAGGATCTCTGAAGAAAAGAGGACACTTGGGACAGACAAGGTTGCTTGGGAGGGACAAGGACATGAGGGAGAGAGGAGGAGGATGGTCACAGCGGGACAAGGATGGTGGGAGGAATGAGGAGACTTGTGGGGAGGGTGAAGATGGCTGGGGAAGGACGAGGATGCTCTGGAGGGATAAGAAGCCTGACAATGAGGACACTTGAAAGGGGCACAAGGTCGTTCCAGAAGGACAAGGGGGCCTGGGAGAGATGAGGACACTTGGGAGGGGCAAGGATGGTTGAGGAGGGACAAGGATGATGAGGAAGGATGAGGAGAGTCAGGAGGAATGAGAGCAGTCAGTGTGCATAAGGACAGTTGAGGGGACAGTGATCCTGGGGAAGGACAAGGACACTTGGGATGGACAAGGATAGTTGGGGGAACAAGGATGCTGAGGATGGAGGAGGACACTGAGGAGGGGTGAGGACATTTAGGGAGGGTGAGGATGGTGGGGAGGGATGAGAATGCAGGAGAGGAATGGAGAATTTGGGGAGGGATGGGGACACTGGGGAAGGACAAGGATGCTGGAGAAGGAGGGTCAACCCCCACCTTAGTGCCATCCCCCCTCTGTGGGTGGCTTTTGCTGCAAAGATCCCCTTTCTGGGGCACCACTTAATAAAGCTGGATTTTGGCTGAGCTGAGACGACTCCTGCACCCTGGAGACCTCCACGCTCCTGTCCCTCCTGTCCCCATCTCACCGTCCGCCCTGGACCAGGGGTTGCCGCTGCCCGACCCATGGCCACCTGCAAAGCAAAAGGAGGCATCGTCCAGCACCCTGCAATGGGTGACACCAGCACCACCCCTGGTGCCCATCACCAGGAGCTGGGGCAGCACTCACCATACTGCAGGGTGCCTGCAGCTGCCTCCATCCCTATTCTCCGTGGGATTCCCAGCACTGTCCCCCAATCCCAGGGTGGGATGGGGACCCCGGGTGTGAAGATCCTCTCCAAGGGTGATGGCGGTGGTGAGGGACCTGCTACAGAGATGGTGGCATCACTGTGGTGTCATGATGGGGCCACCTTCCTGAAGGGGTGACGATGCTGGGGGACAGAGAGGGGGTCTGGGGACCCTTCCTCACCTCTGTAGGTCCCATCGGTGTCCTCAAGGCCAAAGCAGAGGCCATCGACAGCCACGGCCAGTGCCCGGGCGAAGCTGGCATCCAGGAGGAAGGAGCCATCGCAGGAGCTCACCAAGCTGCAGCGGGCGCTGGTGAAGTTGTCCTCTGAGACAGACCCCCACCCGTTCAGCAGTGACCCCACCGGGGAGCCCCTCGCCGCTGGTTGCTCTTCATCCTCCTCCTCGTCCTCCTCCTCGCCCAGCTCGGAGGCCGATGGCCCGTAGATGTAGCCATAGGTGTGCAATGGAGAGATGGACCGCGGCGCGGTGGCTGCTGCAGGGCTGCAGGGGACACAGTGAGGACCATGGGTGCTGCCACCATGATGGTGTCCAAGGGTCATTTCCATGGATGGGGACATGTCCAGGACCACTGGTGAGAAGTGGGGTGCTGTGCACTTGCTGCAGCTCTTTACAGGGGACATGGGGACATACAGAGGATCCGAGGGGACAGGGGCATCCCAGGGGATGGGAGGTACCTGGGGCAGTTGGTGTCCTGGTCCATCTCCAGGTCCTTGGCCACCCGCTGCTGTGTGAAGAGCCCATTGCTGAGTGCTGGTGAGAGGTGACTGGTGACTGGGGACATGTCCCTTGGGTGCTTGGTAGCTGGGGATGTGTCCTTGGGGTACCTGGCAGCCAGGAACACATCTCTTGGGTGCCTGGTCACCAGTGAGGGGTCCCTGGGGTGGGTGGGGACATGTTCTTGGGGTACCTGGTGCCCAAGAACATGTCCCTCTGGTGACCAGGGAGTGGAGACATCTCCTCAGGGTGCCTGGTGGCTGGCGGTGTGTCCTTTGTGTTCCTCGTGCCTGGAGATGTGTCCTTGGGATGCTTCATGGCTGGTGACATGTTCTTTGGGTATCTGCTGTCCAGAAATGTGTCACTTGGATGCCTGCTCACCAGTGATGGGTCCCTGGGGTGCCTGGTGGCTGGGGACATGTCCTTTGGGTGCCTGGTGACAGGGGATGTGTCCCTTGTGCTCCCGGAGGCTGGAGTTGTGTCCTTGGGATGCCTCACCACTGGTGGTGTGTCCTCAGGGTACCTGGGTAACAGGAACATGTGTCTTGGGTGCCTGCTCACCAGTGATGGATGTCTGGCGACCAGAGACATGTCCCTGGGGTACCTGGTGGCCAGGAGCTTGTCCCTGCGGTGCCCAGTGGCCGCAGACTTCTCCTTTGGGAGCCTTGTGGCTGGGGATGAGCCCCTTGAGTGCCCAGTGCCTGGTGACATGTCTTCAGGCTGTCCGGAGGCTGATGACGGGTCCTTGTGGTGCCTGGTGGCTGGTGACACATCCCTGGGGCTCCCAGTGACCGGGGGCATGTCCCTGGGGCACCGGGTGACTGGGGATGTATCCCTGGGGTACGGGGTTGCTGGGGACCTGCAGGTACAAAGGATGTGGTGGCTTTTGCAGCAGGGGGCTGGGGTGGATGTAGTTGCCCATGGTGGGGACAGCGGCACTCACCGTGTCACTGGCGAGTGCCAGCCGTGGGGTGGTGGCACTGGGGACCTTGTGCCACTGGAGGCCAGGGAGGCGCTGCCCCGACGTGGTTTTGGGGTGCTGAAGACCGGGAGCTGCCGCCGGTCCCCTCCAGCCACCACCGCACCTGTGTCACCATCGTGTCCCCTTCGCTGAGGCCACTCCAGCCCCAGATCCGGCCCCCACTCGCCTCTGCTTCCATGGATGGGGCCATGCCCGGGGCCATCGGTGAGCAGTGGGGTGCTGTGCACCTGCTGCAGCTCTTCATGGGGGACATGGGAACACACAGAGCCATGAGCCACCTCCCACTGTTCCTCATGCCCCCCCGTGCCCCCCAGCACCCCCCAGCACCCACCTCTCTTGCGGAGCCGCTCCGAGGGAGCTGGGTTCGGGGTGCTGGGGGATGTGCGCACCCCTGGGTGTCCCACCCTGCAGCACCCCGTGTCCCCAAGGGGTGGAGGGTGCCCCCCGCAGGCACTGCTGTGGTTGGAGGGTGTGGGGGGGCCGAGGCTTGATGGCTCCAAGGACAGGGCTGGAGGATAAAAGAGGTCAGGGCACTCATGGGTGCTGAGTCAGGTGTTCCCTGGCCCCTTCCTCTTTGGCTCTGTTTGTCCCCAGGGCCTTGCTGCATGCAGAGGGGCAACTGTGAGCACCCAGGGGGGTGTTGGGCACTCTGTGAGGGCGAGGCATGGGATGGGGGAGGGTCCCATGGCACTAGATTGGGGTTCCATTGCTCTAGGTGGGGATCCCATGGAATTGGGTGGGGGTCCCATAGCATCATACAGAAGCCACACTGGAATGGGTGGGGGTCCCATGGCACCAGGTTGGGGTTCCTGCACCCATGGGGGTCACTGGAGGGGTCCCTGCACCCATGGGGCTCACTGGAGGGGTCCCTGCCATCGCTGCCCAGGAGGCTGCTGCTGCTGCTGCGGTTCTGTGGGGCACAGCCAGGTTTCCAGGGGCCACCAAGCCACGGCGTGTCTGCAGCCACCAGCCTGTAGGGCAAAGGGGTGTCACAGGATGTCATCTCCCCCACATGGAGCCCCCCATGTCCCTCACCCCACAGTGGGTCACCTGCGGCGCATGGCAGCGTCCCGGCTGGCGCGGCGCTGGCATAGGAGCAGGAGGAGGACGAGCAAAGCCAACCAGAGCAGTGAGCCGGTGGCAGCGATGACAATGGGCTGCCGCAGCACCCGGGCCAGCCCTGTGCTCCCTGCTGCCACCCCTGCAACATGCCAACAGTGTCACCACTGTGCTGCCACCTTAACCCCTGCCTTCACCCCATTGTGGTCCCCATCTGCACCCCACTGTAGTCCCGTCTCCTACCCATGGCACTGCAGGTAACGTTGCTGGGGACCCCCAGCCCTGCACCATTGAAAGCTGCCACCCGGACGCAGAGCTGGGCCCCAGGGCTCGGGATGAGGGTTTCCAGGCGGTGGGTGCCTCCATCCACGGTCCTGTTGGTGGGGCGCTGCCAGCCCTCGGCCATCGACCACACCTGCAGGCACCAAGAGGATGAGCTCCCTTAGGTGAAGCTCCTTGATGGACCCCATTGAACTACTATTCCCAGGATGGACCCCCTTGGATGGGTCCCCTTAGATGAATCCCCTTGATGGACAACCTTCATCTTGGTCTGCCCCTTTGGATGCCCCTTGTCAAGATTCCTCTTGGATGAATCTCTTGCCTGGATTCCCCCTTGGACAGCCACTCCTTGGATGACCATGCTTGGAAAGACCTTTGATAGGCTCCCTTCTTGGATGGATCCCCCTTAGACAAGCCCCTTGGATAGATTCTCCTTGGCCAGAAGCCCCCCAGCCCCATCATCCCAAACCTTGTAGCCACGGATGATGCCATTGTGGGCCTCAGGAGGAGGCGGTTCCCAGCTCACAACCACGGTGCCGTTGCCCATCTCAGCCTGGCCCATGGTGACATGCTGGGGTGCTGCGCTTGGCACTGCAAGACAGGGGTGCTGAGACCAACCAATCCCACCATCCTCCACCCAGCATCCCTGGGGACACCCAGCCCACCTTCCTCAGGTATCCAGAGGTATCTGCTATTGCTGTCCAAGCCCTGGGTCCGTCCAGTGTAGGGTCGGACCTTGAACTCATACTTGTAGCCCCTGCGGAGCGCAGGGATGATGGTGCTGAGCTCCTTGCCTGCATCATGTTGGACCCAGGAAGTGGTGGCAGGGACCAGGCAGCGGTACAGCACCATGTAGCCCACCAGCACTGGTGTCCTCATTAGCATCTGGGGGGGTTGGATGGGTTATGAGCCGTGGTGGGACATCATCCCTGCATCCCATCCCAGCCATCCCAAGGGGACACGCACCTGCCAGCGGAGCCGCACGGCCGCGGTGGGCAGCACGGTGCCATTGTCCAAGTGCAGCCTCATGGCCAGCAGGTCCCGAGGAGCAGCATCGCGCCGGCCCGTCGGCAGCCGCTCTGCGGGCAGAGGGAGCTCACAGCAGCGCCAGGCAGGAGCAAGGTCCCCCTGGAACCCATCTCAGATACCCATCCCTGGAGAGCCTGGTGGCTCCCTGAATGGACCTCCTCAAATGGACACCATGGAAGGACACCTCTTGGATGGACACCACTTGCATGGACCCCCTTGATGGACCCCATGATATATGCTTATTGATATGTCCCTCTTAGATGGACCCTTTGGATGGATATGTCTTCTTCAATCCCCCTTTAAATTCCCTTCAACCTGCCACTTTGGACAGACCCCTTTAAATGGATCCTCTTGGAGAAACCTGCTTGGATGGATTCCCTTTAGATGAGCTTTCTTGAATGGATACCCTTGCATGGACCCCCAGGTGACCCTGGTTCCCCATGACAGAGGAAGCCATGGAGGTGCCACCACTGACCCTCCACGCGGAGCAGTGCGGTGGCTGCAGCGGTGCCCAGCTGGCTCTGCGCTGTACACACGTAGGTGCCGGCGTCGGCGAGCGTCACGGCGTAGAGGCGCAAGGTGTGCTCCTGGTCCACCTCATGCCTGTGGGTCACCAGCCTTCCATCAGCCCCATCCTCACCCCAAGGATGTGACACCTCCACCCTGCCACCACCTACCTGCCCCAGGGCAGGTCCCCACGTTCCTTGTGCCACTGCACCCGTGGCATTGGGTCACCTTGTGCGCTGCAGTTCAGCTCCACGGTGCTGCCCGCCACCGCCACGGTGTCACTCGGGTGCCGCACAATGGTCGGCTTCTCTGCGATGGGGACACGGAGGACATGGCCCAGAGCTGGCCGTGGTGCGGCCACCACCCCCATGGGACACCCTTGTCTTACCCAGGACAGAGACACGGGCGCCGCGGCTCTCCCTCCTGCCCGCCGCGTTGGCCGCCACGCAGACGTAGAGCCCAGAGTCGCTCCGGTGCGCCGGTGCCACCCGCAGCTTCCCGTTGGTGACCACGTACCTGTCACCCGCTGAGTCCAAGGCCACCCCGTCCTTCTTCCAGGTGACGTGGGGCTCGGGGTGCCCCGAGGGGGGGACACAATCCAGCTCCAGCACTTGTCCCACCGTGGCCACCAAATCGCTTGGCTGCAGGCGGAAATTGTCCCGCAGCACTGGGACAAAGGGGACACCATGGGTGAGGGGGGGGACAACAGGAGGTTTTGGGGTGCCCCCCCGCTCATAGGGTGTCCTTACCAGCTGCAGTTTGGGGTGCCATGGCCGTGCCAGGGGTGTGGCAGCCTGTGGGGGGACAAGGAAGTGGTGGTGATAGAAGTGGATCTCAGCCCTGGTATTGAGGGGTGGGGGGCACCCCCACACTCACCTCCCCGCTGCAGCGCGCTGAGGCAGAGCCCCAAGCCCAGGGCCAGCACCCAGCTGCCCGCCATGCTGGCCCCGGGCTGCATTCCTGAATTCCCGGTCCCCCCCTCTCCCCCGCCAGCACCGGGGCAGGATCCGGCTCCGGATGGGGGGGGACAATAGCCGGACGCAGAGGCCGGGAAGTGCCGGGGGGAGGTTGGACACAAACATCTCTGCTAATCCATGGTGGTGGGAGGAAGAAGAATGAAGAAGAAAGGAGCTCTCCGTAGGGACCAGAATGAACTGTCCCAAGCTTAGCTTTGGGTGCATCGAGCTCTTTCGCTCTCAGCTGTCACCCAACTCTGATGCTCACCCCAGGGTGCACCCTGTCCCACAAAGACACCCCAGGGTGCCACCATGGGCCGGGTACTACGTTTAGTTTATTGGTTAGTAGCACCGCAAACACCCCAGGGTGCTCCAGCACCCACCCGGGCGCCCCGGGGCCGGCTGCTGTGTGATTTCCATCCTAAACCTATATCCCGGGAGCGCCTGGGAGGGGGAGATGTGATGGGAGAGGAGGAACCCCCCCCATTTAGGCCGCCTGCGTATGCGTGCTCGGGCGAGCTTTGGGTCACTGTGCCCCTGCTGCGTGCACGGGCTGTGTGCTTTGGGTGTGCAAGTGTGCTCCTGCACACGCCGGGTACACGTGTGCTCATGCGGCGCGCTGTGTGCATGCTCCTTGTGTGTGTGTGTGTGTTCAGTACATGCTTTGTGCAAGCTCTGTCACACACTCTGTGCATGCCTTCTGCACGTTTGCTGCATGCTCTATGTGCCCCCCATGCGGTGCTGCATGCGTGCTCTCCTCATGTACTCCATGTGTGTCCCCTTCATGTATGTTGTCTTGTCACGCTCCCTGCACACTGTGTGTGCTCTCTGTGAGCATGGCATGCCTGCTGTCCCCACGTGCTCTCCATGTGCTCTGTACGCACTCATGCTCTGTGCATGCTACGTGCACGCTTTCTGCATGTTCCCCATGCGCATACTCTCCACACGGTCCATGCAGTCTTGGCTGCAAGCTCTGTGCATGTTCTCTCTGTGAGCTCCTCATCCTCTCTCTTACATGCTTTGTGCACGCTTATTGAATACATGCTCTCTCTGCACACCTCTGGCACCCTTTGTGCTCTCTCTGCATACTCTGGGCAAGGTATGTTCCCATGCCCTGTGCATGTTCTTACATGCTTATTGCATGTTTTGTCTGCACACTCCACACACCTCTTGCACGCTTGGTGCACGGCATCGCTGCACACACTGTGCACACTCATCCTGTTGTGCAAATGCTCTCGTGCCCTGTGTGCATGGCATCTCTGCATGCTCCATGTATGCTCTTGTGCACGCTCCATATGTGCCCTCCTGCATGTTCCATGCATGCTGTCTCCGCACACTCTTGGGCACGCTCCATACGTGCCCTTGTACATGCTCCGTACATGTTCTCTCTGCACACTCTGTGTATGCCCTTGGTCATGCTCCATGCATGTTCTCTCTGCATGCCCCACGCTCCCCCTTTCAGTGCAGTGTGTGCACACTGTGCTCCGTGCGTGCTCCACACATGCCCTCTCGCGTGTTCTCTCCGTGCACAGCACACACGCTCCCTCCCGCACGCTCCCCACGCGCTCATCCCGGCGGGAAAGCCACGAAAGCGGCGCCCCAGGAAGAGAGGGGACGGAAGAGGGGAGCTCCGGGTGGGATCAATAGCAAATTAGTGACTTTACGCCGAGCCGGCCGGTGCCCGCTGTCCCCACTCGCCCGGTGCCACCGCAGGCACACACGTGTCCCCCCTGCTCAGGCACTGATCTCCACGGCGTTGGCCTCCTCCTGCTCACGGATGACGTGGACGCCGGCGGTGCGCAGGAGCCGTGGGGCGCCGCGGGACCGTGCGGGTGACCCCGGCGGGGAGCGGTGCGGGCGCGTCGAGGCGGGCGAGCGTGCCGGGGAGCGATGGTAGCGCCGCGTCGAGCGACCCACCGGGCCCGGCGAGCGGCCGGCTGCTGGCACCGGAGAGCTGGGGTAACTCGCTTCCACCGTGCCACGGGGCTCCGGCGCCGCGTCCTCCTCTGCCTCTGGAGAGTCCTGACAAGAGACAGCGGTAGGCAAGCGTGTGAAGCGCGCCAGGCACATGGTGCTACCGGCACGCCACCAGCCGCTCACCTTGTCCTTGAGGATGTACAAGGCCACCGGATTCTTGCGCTCGTGCTCAGCGCTCCGTGGGATGGTCTCAGCTGTTGGAGGCACGGTGTCGGTTATCACGGTGTTGTGTTGGTTACCCAGTGTTAGGCACCACCAGCACTCACCCTCATGCTTCAGACGCTCCTCGTCCTGCTCTGTGTATTCAGAAGCTGGTTGTGTCTCTGCTTGTCGCTTCTCCCTAGGGAAGGGGAAGGAACGGGCAGCGCCGGCACCATGATGGGGCAGAGGTGGGGCTGCTGGGGAAGGGGCCAGTGGTCCCCAGTGGTGGGATGGGACAAGTTGGAATTGGATGGGGATGGGATGAGATGGGATGAAGCAGGATTGGATGGGATGGGATGAGATGGGATGAAGTAGGATTGAATGGGACGGGACTAATGGGATGAGACAAGACCTGGCATAATGAGATGGGATGGAATGGGACAGAACAGGACAAATGGGTCAGTGCAGGTTGGGATGGGATGAGATGAGACTAAATAGGATGTAGCAAGATGGGACAAGATAAGATGAGATGAGGTAGGTCAAGTCAGGATGGGACAGGATGGGATGGGATGTGATGGGATGAGATATGAGGTCATATGGTGGGACAGGACAAGATGGGATGGGAAGAGATGAGACAGGGTGGGATGGAATAAGACAGGATGGGGCAGGAGAAGAGGACCCCCTTTGGCTCCCATGTTCCCCCAGCCATACTTCTTGGAGGGTTTCCAGCAGGCACAAACAGTCACCAGGGTGACGAGGAGGAAGATGCCACCCGTGGAGAGGATGATGTAGAGAGAGCTCCGGCCTGGGGAGAGCAATGGGGGGACAACCCCCCTGGATTTTAGCTGGGAGCATCTCCAAGAGATGTCTGTCCCCAGGGGGTGCAGGTGGCTTACGGTAGACAGTGATCTTCACGGGGATGCTGCGGCCATGGCTGATGGGGTTCTCCACCAGGCAGCTGTAGACGTCATCATCGGCCATGAGGACGCGGGTGATGGTGAGGATCTTCTGGTCAGGGGAGAGGAGCAGGCGGGAGTCGTTGCTCAGCGGCCGCCCATCTTTCAGCCAGGTGTAGGTGGGCTTCGTGCCATTCTCGTGGGAACAGTTGAGGGTGAAGAACTCACTGAGCTCCAACACCGTTGAGGAGGCCACCAGCACTTGAGGCTTCGAGATGGGGACTGCAGGTGAGCAGAGGAACCATGGTGATGGGTCCAATCTCATCATGTCTCAGGTGATGTATGGGCACAGGGGATGTGAAGGGGGACATCAAAATGCCACCGAGGATATAGCTTGGCTACACAGTGTGGTTGAACCCCAAAACCACCCCCCAGTTGGAGATGGGGTGATTGAACCTCCTAGTTGGGTAAAGCCCTCCTCAAAAGTGCTTGGGGTGCGGGTGAGCAGGGAAGCCATGGTGACACCATGCCTCAGGAGACACATGGGCCCATGGGATGGGGAGGGCATCAAAACACCACCGTGGATGTAGCTTGGCTACACAGTGTGGTTGAACCCCAAAAACCACCTCCCAGTTTCAGATGGGGTGATTGAGCCTCCCAGTTGGAGAAAGCCCTCCCCAGAGGTGGTCAGGGAAGACATCCCATAGAGAACCCAACCTCCACTGAACATCCTTCTTGCTCTTACTGTCCACAGTGAGGTTGATGGTCTTCTCGCCGGTGAAGGTGTCGTCGGTGATGGACACCTCCACCTCGTAAGCCCCTTCATCGGACAGCTGCAAGGGGCTGATGAGGAGGGAGCCGTTCTCCAGCACCCGGATGCGATCCCGGTAGTCGGGCCGTAGGTTGCCGATGATCTCAGTGCCGATGGACTGGACGACGGTGACGGGTTTGTCTCGCTTCAGCTGCCACTTGACCACGGGCTTGTCGGCGCTGGCGCTGGCGTAGCGCACCGACAGCAGCGCCGCTTTGCCTGCTGTGCCGCGCACCAGTGCCGCGGGGCTGGTGATGTTCACCCCTGCCAGCAGACCTTGGGTGGGGGGGGGAGAGACAATGGGGTCCCCAGTCTGGGTCCTCCGAGCCCATAGGGAAATAGGGAATCCCATCCCAAAGATGTGCTGAGTGCCCTCAAGGTGCATCAGCACGGGTGGGATGTTCAACCAACACCTTGAGAAGATGCGGGGTGGGTGGTAGGAGACCTCCTGTGCTCAGGTTAATTGAATGATTTGGAAATCATGCCAAAAACTGAAGGGGTGTGTGTGTGTGTGTGTGTGTGTAATTTTTATCCCATCCCTGCTCCACTGGATGCTCTGATGCAGCCAAATCAACCCAAAGATGCCAAACTGCATCATGGAGTTGATTTTAAGGGCAAAAAGGTAGGGAAAAAGTGGGGAAAGCTGATAATTTGGAGGATAAGTCCCCAAAACAGCTTTTTCCCTAAAAATCCATCTCCCCAGTTCCCAGCCCAGGGGTGCCATCTGTGACTGTCATCCACATGCTGTTATGCGAGGGTGAACAAACTTCATATGGAAGAGAGAAGGAGGAAAAAGAATGGGGAAACCAGCTGGGAAGAGTGAAGCCGGAGCAAGAAAGGCTTTAAACAAGCCTGGAAAGTCATGGGATCTATTGGTATGCAACGTTCGTCCGTCCATTATTCCCAGCTCGGCCCCGAAAACATGCCCCAACCCGAAAAAATAGGGAGCATCTATAAGGCAAACCCAGGCCTGGGATGGGATATAGCTTTTAATGAATCCTTGCACCCCCAAATTGCTGCTTTTTAACCATTTCTCCCCCTTTTTAAAGCGAATTGCTATTTTTGCCCTGCTCCTGGTAATGAATTTGGGAGCTAATTAATAAATCAGGCAATATTCCCATTTCCTATAGCATTCCTGGCTTAGGGATGGAGATCTCTCACCTTTTCTGGCTGAAAAACCCACTAAAACTCCTAATTTTTCCACTATTTTCCCAAATTAATCCCCATTTGTTGCAGAAAAAGCCAATTGTGGAGGGTCCTGATGTTTTTTTTTGGGTGTCAATCCAAGCTGGCAAAATGCAAAAGTGGCTTTGGAAAACTCCCTTGGCTCATCCGCAGGGAAATGGGGCTTCCCCACGGCTGATTTTGGGTCCAAACTGCAGTAAAATGGTGCAGAATTGTTGTGCGTGATATTCTGCATTTCCAGATGCGAGATGGGGCAGTCTGGGACTCCTTAAACCCCAAAGGTGGGGTTTTAGGGAATAAAAGATGGAGGTTTCAGCAGGATGGGGAGCAGAGCTGGAAATGGGATGAGAAATGGGCTTTTTGGGAAATCTGAGGGATGGGTAAGAAAATAGAATTGGGAATGCTGAAAAAAAGAAGAGGAAAAGGGGGCTTGGGGGAGACGAAAAACTGGGAAGAAGCTTGGGGAGGGTGGGGGTGGTGGATCCAGCCCCCAGCAGGACCTGTTTGGCCCTGGAAAAGTGTTTTTCCCAGTTTTTATTCCTCAAAAATTCCCCCTTCTTTTCCCTTTTTCCCAAGCAGAGGGGGTGCCCAACAGCTCATCAGTCCTTCCCAACCCTCCCTTCATCGGGTACCACCACCCCCATCACCCCCCCCCCCCCCCCCCCCGCCAGCATCCTCTGTCCAGATACACCCCAAACCCAAGGAAAAATGGGGAAAACCGTGTTAAAACGGGTAAAAAACCATGGGGAAAACCCATGGGAAAACACGAAAAGCCCCTACCTGTGTGCAGAGCCAGGAGCAGCAAGCAGGGGGGACCGGGGTGGCCCCTCGGGGCGGCCGGCGCTCCCCACATTTCGCCCCCCGAATCCCTCCGCTTCCCAACTCCGGGCACGTCCCGCGGAGCTCCCGGCTTGGCGTTCCGCCCGGATAAATTCTTTTTTTTTCCCTTCTTTTTTTGTTGTTGTTCTTGCCCTTCTCAATAGAGCCCTGTGTCCTGGTGGATTTCGCCTCCCCGGCGGCCTCGAGCTGACATTTATTTGGGGGAAAAACACTCAGATTCGCAGTTCCCCCCCCCCCCCCCCAATTCCATGTTTTCCCACTCCCAGGAAGATTCTCAATGTCGGGGGCATCACCCCGTTGAGCATGGTTAAGTTTTGCCGTCTCTGCTGTGGATAATCCAGTGGGTTTTAAGTCTCTGAGCATTGGGGATTATATTTGGGGGGTCATTCCACAAAGCTGGATGAGCACCCCTCTCCCAGTGGGGTTTCCCCTTCCCTATTTTCCTCTTCTCAGGCTTTAAAGTGAAGCTGTGGTTGCATCCAGGCTTCATTCCAGCTCCGGTGCCAATTAGTGCCGTTCCCCGGGCATCACTGAATAAGGCAGCCGGGATACAGGGCAAGATGCCCAGAGCTGCTTCCCACCCCCCTCCGAGACCTGCCAAGCTCATCACCCCAGTGACGAGGGATCAGCCTCCATCCCCCCGAGGAGGATAAAGGGATATTTTGGAGGGGGTCCTGGGGATGCTCTGGTGGGGTTCAGGGATGCTCTGGTGGGGTTCAGGGATGCTCTGCGAGAGGTTCAGGGATGCTCGGGGGAAACTATAGGGATATTTTGGGAGGGTGAGGGGAATTCTAGGGAGGGTCAGGAATGCTCACGGGGTTGTTTTCGGGGTGCTGTGATGGGGACACCGGTCCCGTCCCCCCCCCCCACCCCTTGTTTGTCCGCGGCGGGACGCGAACCCGGGACCCCAGAATCTTGTTGGGGAGCGAGCTGTGGGCGGGGCCTGGGGGCGGAAGTGGCACCGGCATTCGAAGTAGTGGCTGGGGCGGAAGTGGCGGTTGGTAACGGGGAGGTGTAGGGGGAATTTGGGGTGAGGGGAGCGGTATGGAGGGGGGTTATGGGGTGCTGTGGGGGGGGTGGTAGGGGTGGGGAATGGGGGTGCACGGCTTGGGCTATGGGGTGCTATGGGTTGAGTGGTAGGAATGGGGGTGCAGGGAATGGGAGGCTGTGGGGGACACACACTGACCCCATAGCCCCTTTCCCAGTCTCCAGACAGGATCGCAGGATGCCGCCATCCCCCTGGAAGGATCGGAGCTGCCGGGTGCTGGCCCAGAGGAATCCCCGCGTTGCCCCTGTGGGTGCCTGGGTGGAAAGTGCCCCGGTGGGCCCGGAGCAGAGCTTGGCCTTTGTGAGTGCTGCTGGGGGTCCTGTGGGTGCTCACCCCCCTGCTTGTGCCACTAAACCCGGGGGGGGGGGGGGGGGGCATTGGAGCTGCCAGTGAGCTTTTCTTCCCTCTGAAGGCAGCCAGAGCGCTGCTCCTAGGAAGAATTAATAGGTTTTAACGACTTCTAGGAGGGTCAGAAGCCACCACGGTGTCCATGTGGCCCGGCATCCCGTTCACACAAGCCCTCAGCATCTCCCTGAGCTGATTCCCCTCGAATGAACTGGGTTTTTCTTTAGTAACACTTTGGGTTTAGCCATCAGTGAGGTTGAGATCTGGGCAGTGCTCTCATCAGCTGCTGTTGATGCCCTGATTATCCATACTATGCTTTCTGCACTGTTCATTTTAGCTGGGCCTGTGGGTTTGCAGCCTGTTACTAGAAGCTGCCTTCAGCACTGGCAGCACAGCTAAAACTCAGCAGGTTTGTGCCCCCCTTCCACCTCTTCCATGAATTTTCCTCACTATTCCTGGCTGCTCAATGATTTCATCAGCACCAGGTTTGGAATTCCATGCTTATAGCTTTGCATTTGAGGTGCCTGTGCCACTCCTGACCCCTCCCTGTATCAATTCTCTTTGCTTTCCTGTTCATCCATAAAGGATGTTGGTGAATGAGATTTTATCCCATGTTGCTGGTTTAAAAGTAAAACTAAGTTGAGACTGGAGCCAGCCTCTGCTGTGCACTGTTAGAAACACTCCAGAACGTCTTTAGTGATGCTGATCTCAGGGATTCCTGCTTTGAGGGTTATCATAAGAGGACTTAAAGCGCATTAAATCCAGGCTGATGAGTTCAGTCCCCTGTAATTAATGTCTAAACGTTCCACAAGCTACTGCCCTTCGGAGATGATTTATTTCTACATTGTCATTTAAATCCTGAAAGGTTGAGATAATAAATGGAGATGAATCATCTCCATATTCCACACAACTTCTATCTCACACGGGAGCCCAACTCTTCCTGCCTGCTTGGGGGCCTTTGGAACTCCAGGTCCTCCCTTGGTGTTGGGCTTTCTGTGAGGTGCACAGGCCCAGTGGAGCTTATTGAAGATACTTCTATAAGCCAGCAGATCGTATTAAAAGCATACCTGTTCATGCCTCCTGCATCAGAATTGCTGCTGAGGTTGTCAAAAGGAAGCAGAGCGAGATGGGGATGGGGTTTATATAGTGGTTTCCTCAAAAACAGCACAGGTTTCTCCTGTCTCGGTGCTCTCTTTAATTGTTCTGACCTTGCTGTGGTGCTGGTCACGTTCCTGGCAGGCAGTGGGATGTGGGGACCATCCAACCCCAAGCTGATTTCAGATCCCCCTTTTTTCTCCATCCCTTCAGACTCTGGTTTTCCTGCAGTGACAACCAGAAGAGTGATGCCAATTTTCCTTAAGCCATGGTGGTATCAGCAGAATTCCTTGGCATGGCTTCAAGTAAGAACCTGGGAAAATAACACAACTGATTGATTTATTTCATTTAGGTCATTGCTTTTAATCTTTTACTTCAGAGCCTTTGCTCTGCAAGCTCCTTCTTTGACATGGTTCCAGCATTAATGAGATCCGAGGCTGGCCTGCTCCTTTTGGATCTGGGCTTTGGGTATCTGAGCATCTTTTCACTGGAGCTGTGAGTTGATGGATGAGGCCGTCACTTTCTTTCTCTGTGTGTTACAGCTGAAGCAGGAGGTGTGCACACTCTGCCCAGCTAGGTTCAGTCCAAGCTCATCATAATCCAATAGATGTTCTCCAAGCTGTTGCACAGATTTTGAAGCAAAACATTGGAGTTTTCTCCGAGTGCTGCTTGTGGCTGCAGGTGCAGGAAGGGAAGATGGAATAGGAGCAAAAATCATGGGAAATCTGCTTTCACCTCTTGCAGGCTTCAGCCTTTCAGGTGGAGGAGGAGCTGAAGAAGCAGCAGCAGCAGAAGGCGGCCAGGCTGAGGCGATTCCAGGGCGAGGTGAAGCAGAGGGTGAACCAGCAGGTCAGGATGAGAAGGAAGCTGCAGCTTCAGAGGTCCTATGAAGCAGTAAGTAGATCTCCATCCTTGCCTTGCCAGAGGCCTTCAGGAAAAACTGAAATCAGGGGGAAAAAAACCCAATCAGACCTCAGGTCAGTGTGTTTGTAAGGAGAAATGAGAAACTGGTGGTCATAGCAGACCCCATGGCCATAAGTAGTGTCCCCTTGAGCAAGGTCAGTTTGACACTGTCAGGCTCTGGTACTCGGGGAGCTTTAAGCCCTTTGCCTCCCTGCAGAAAGGTCACTGCTTCTCCTGGAAGCAGCAGAGTCCTGGTGTCCTGGGCATGGAGTTAAAGTATAGCCAGAACTGTGAAGGATGTGGATGTCTCCTTGTTGCACTTAAAGCAGTTTATTCCTGCTATTCCCTTTTTCAAGGCAGACATAGTTCACAAGCAGCACTTCCATGCTGTCTCCACATTCCAATTTACCCCCATGGGCTTGTTTTAGATGATCCTTGTGAATATATTTAATCCTTTCTATTCTTAACTGCCAGGGAGACTTGCCAGAAACTGACTGTGGAGCAAGAAGGGAATGCCCTGGAATATTAGTGGTTTGGGCCGTCCCTGGGGTGTTTGGGCTTTTTCCATGGCTTGGGAGTGTGGTTGAGAGAGGATGTGCTCACGTCACTCCTCTTGCACTCCTCCAAACTAAAACCCTCCACAGCAGGATGGCTCTTTGTGCCCATCCCAAGAAATGCCACCAAACGGAGCCAGCAGCTCCCATGCAGCATGTGTTAATCATGGAATCATTTGGGTTGGAAGGAACCTTAAAGCTCACCCAGTTCCAACCACTGCCACAGGCAGGGACACCTTCCATTAGAGCAGGTTGCTCCACAAGCCCTTGTCCAAAGCCCCTTTTTAGCTTTCTTGTAGCTGTTCAGGAAGCTGCTCCAAGGTCTCCCTGGAGCCAGGACCTCACCACCCTCATGGTGGAGGTTATGTCCCATTATCCATAGCTGTGTCCTGCAGGCAGAGCGGGAGAGCTGTGTGGCTGTGCAGTACTCAGGCTCCGCGCTGCGCCGGACCAGGATGAACACGTGCCTGTTTCGGAGCCATCCCACATCCACCATCGGCATTCCTAGTGCTCCTCATGCCATCTCGGTGCCATGGCAAGGGGAGCAGGATGAGCCATTCCAGCAGCATGCTGCTGAGGTGAGTAGTTCCTCTCCTGGGTTTTCCAGCCGTGCTTCCTCAGGCTGGATGCTAGTGGTTTGAAAGGAGGACAGGCAATGTTTCCTTTTCCAGCACATTCCTAATTCACTCTGTTGCTGCAGGTTGCCCAGAGAGGTGGTGGAAGCACCATCCCTGGAGACATCCGAGGCTGTGGATGTGGTTCTGGGCAGCCTGGCCTAGTTGAAGATTTCCCTTCTCATTGCAGGGGGTTGGACTAGATGACCTTTGAAAGTCCTTTCCAACCCAAACCTTTCCATAATTCTATGAATACAGTGAATTTTCCCTCCCCGTGCAGACTTGTTGCTGTGTTGTGTCGCATAGGTGGCACTAGGTGGTGCCACCTCATTGCATCTGATCTCCTGCGCACCAGGAATGTGGGATCTTGGAAAACCTGCTTTTGGGACTGTTTAAAGCTTCCTAATAGTCATGCTTATGCTGCATCTGGCATTTCATAAAGTTTGTTCACCGAGGAGCTGGGGTTCCAGTTGAAGCACCACCTGGGGTGGAGAATCACTTCTGGCTGGATACTGGGTGGGACAATTGGGAATCTGGGGCTTCTGGCATCACAGCAAAGTGGTCTGGGAGCAGGTGATCTGTAACCAAGCCCTTTACCTTGCCTGGACTGGGATTTCAGTGCACTGGGACAGCTCTGGAAATCCCTTTGGGTTGTAGGTTCCCTGATGCCTGTTTATAAAGCTCATTGTGTGTTAAGCTTTTATCCCTTTGTAAAGCACTTTGGTCAGGGCAGGGCACACTGGGAGATCTCTTCATTGCAGCTGAACTTCTTGGTGCTGCCCGCACAGAAAGCAGTTGGCGATAACTTCATGTCTCTTTTCTTCACCTTCCCTCCTAACACAGCTGAGCAAAACCATGAAGCACGTTCGGCACAGGCTGGCGTCCTGCAGGACTGTGCCTCAAGGAGCAGGTCCCCCTGAACTCCCTGGTGGTGTCTGGAGGCAGGAGGTGAGTGAGGGCTGCCTGGGGTGGGTAAGAGGAAGGAGCTTGCGAAGC